CGCTCTCCCCCGCGGACCCGAAGCTCCCCCTCCGCCTCCCGCAGTCTCCGCCCGCGAAGGGGCTCCTAGTGTGTGGAAACTTTTCCTCCTTCACAGCTCCCTCTCACTGGGGCAGGTCCCGTCCCTAACCTTTTGTCTCTGTTTATTCTTTTTTCTTGTGCCCTACCCAGGTACGTGGCGGGGTTTCTTGCCTTTTGGGAGGTCTGAGGTCTTCTGCCAGCGTTCAGTAGGTGTTCTGTAGGAGTTGTTCCACGTGTAGATGTATTTCTGGTGTATCTGTGGGGAGGAAGGTGATCTCCGCGTCTTACTCTTCCGCCATCTTCCTGGAAGCCGGGCCTACTTTTCGTTCTGGTGTGCGGGCTTCTCATTACGGTGGCTTCTCTTGTTGTGTAGCAGGGCTCTAGGCGCACGGGCTTCAGTAGTTGTGGCATGTGGGCTCAGTAGTTGTGACTCACGAGCTCTAGAGCACAGGCTCAGTAGTTGTGGCTCACGGGCTTAGTTGTTCTGTGGCGTGTGGGATTTTCCCGGACCAGGGCTCGAACCCATGTCCCCTGCATTGGCAGGAGGATTCTTAACCACTGTGCCACCAGGGAAGCCCCTAAATTTATTTCATTTAGAGTGTAAATGTATGCCACAGAGTACTGTGGTGTTTGAGAGGGGATAGTATAGGATATTCTGAAAACAAGTCAGGTCTGTTTAGGATTTTCAGTTCTAATAAAATTGTGGGTTATTGTACTAGATATAGTATTTATTATATAAACTATATTTCTTTAAATACTGTATGACAGAAGTGTGTGTTTACTTACTCATAGAACTCATCAGAAACCACATATAGAGATGTGGCACTAAAATTATTTGAATTATCTAATAAAATCTTAGGGGGTGTTAAAGCAGCTTAGTGTTTGGCTGTGAAACCAAGAAGTCTTATATAGAGGCAGGGACATGCTGCGTATTCTCCCAAATCTTCTTTCTTTTCTAGGCCCTTGGTACCTGAGTAATACCATTTTGCAAAATTCAGAGAGTGAGAACCTATAACCTAAATGGCTTCTTTTTTTTGAATTTTATTTTATTTATTTTTTATACTGCAGGTTCTTAATAGTTATCTATTTTATACATATTACTGTATATATGGGTAAGATGAACTTTGTAAAAGAAAGGCATCTTTTTATAGCACAGCATAATGACATTAAAATGATACATAAAAGAAGAATTTTCTGCTAGTTTTCAGTGTATTAAAGATTCTGATTATTTTGTTTTTGGCACAATAGACAGCCCTGAGAAAGGATGGCTGCTATAATTCTTGTATAGTAAGTTGCAAGATACAAATATACATATTTGTTATACATATACAAGATACAAATATACATATTTGGTTAGCATTGGCTTTGCTCATCTGTTTTGAATAAGTTGAATGGAGAGGCAGACTGGAGTGAAGAAACAGCCCAAACTGGAACTGAAATTCTTGCCTTGACCCCGTCATTAAGAAACTCTAGGGCTTCCCTGGTGGCGCAGTGGTTGAGAGTCTGCCTGCCGAGGCACGAGCCTCGGTCCGGGAAGATCCCGCATGCCGCGGAGCAGCTGGGCCCGTGAACCATGGCCGCTGAGCCTGCGCATCTGGAGCCTGTGCTCCGCAACGGGAGAGGCCACAACAGTGAGAGGCCCGCGTACC